TTTCTGTTCCCGTATCCCATCTAGGATCCCACATTGTATTTGGTTGTTGCATCTAACTTGACTTCTCTTGGCTCTGACAGTTGCTTCGTCTCGTCTCGTCTCGTCTCGTCTCGTCTCGTCTCGTCTCGTCTCGTCTCGTCTCGTCTCTTCTCTTCTCTTCTCTTCTCTTCTCTTCTCTTCTCTTCTCTTCTCTTCTTTTTTTTCTGTTCTTGGTTCTGACAGTTTTGAGGAACACTGGTCAAGCATAGTATAAGATGCCCCTCTACTGGGATTCGTCTGATGCTTTTCTCATGGTTAGGTGGGGCTATGGAACTTTGAGAGAAAGATCAGCAAGACAAAGTGTCACCTTAATCATATCACATAGTAGCTAGGAATCATTTCTGGCATGATTCGTGGTGGCTGACACTGACCTTGATTGCTTGGTGAGAGCAGTGTTGGGTCTTCTCACTGTAAAGCTACTCCCCCGTCATATCTCCTCTTCAGCAGTGGCTCATGTGCATAGTCCACACTTAAGAACGGGGAGCTATGTCCCCATCTAGGGATGAAATGTTCGTATTATTTATATAGAACTCTTTTGCATGGGAGATTTCATCTATCTTTTTGCTAGTTTGCTTAAATTGTTCTAGCTTTCAACATTGCCCACCCTTTTACTTGGCCTCTTTGGCATATGTGTGTGTATGTGTACATGGATGTGTGTTTGTGTGCACGTGTATACTCAGGATGCTCCAGGTTTACTCGGCCATTTCTTGTTCCATGCTTAGACACCTTTGGCTGACCAGTGACTTCTGGTATGGCTTCTGTCATAAAGTCTCCTGAAGCCTCATGCAGTGATAGGTGGGGCTTTTTTGGAAGTGGCTGGATCTAGCATGTGTTGATGCTGGGACTGATTCACAGAGCAGCGCTAGGATCCAGGGCATTGGGGTACGGGCGTGAGTGCTGGTGGCCCTAAGTGGCCTGCATAAGATACAAGAGATAGAAAGAGCTCTGGTCATCCCTGGCTTGCTTTGCCACCTCCTGCCTGCCATGCACTGTCTCCTCTGTCGTGCCCTTCTCTCTGCCTTGCCACCCTGCTTTGGAGGCAGCCAATTACAGACTTAAGCCTCTACAAACTGTGAGCTAAATAAACCTTTCCTCCTTTAGCTTTGGGTGTCAGGTATTTTTATCTCAGCAAAGAGAAAAGTAACTGAGACAACTTCTTTGGGGCTTCACTGCTCCCAACTACCAGTGGAAAGGATTAAATTATATTTATTCATTTAAGAGTAGTTTTGCGTGCATGCCCTGTACTGGATACTGTTTCAGGTAGTGACAGCATAGTGAAGAAAACAGGTTTTGGTCTGTACCTTCATGGGACCAGTCTTGGTTAATCTGTTCTGTGCTGGACTCTGTCCTAGGCTTTCAGCAGATAGCCCATAACATATCTTCACTTAGGGAACCTGTCAGTTAGTTGAGGATAGAGAGATTACAGTAGGGAAACAGACAAAGCTCTACCTGTAATGTCAGTAGGCAGTAGTATTAAAGGAGACTCCTCCTGTAGGTAGGTAGGGTAGTCAGCGACACCTCTTTGTGGCTGTGACACTGGAGCTGATCTAAAAGGGAAAAGAAAGATGGAGCCCCTACATGTCTCGGAAAAGGTTTCTTCTCTCTCAAGTCTCTAAATGATACAGTTGTAGCCTCAGGGAACCCTGTGTCTCTCACCTCACCCTCTTCCTCCGGCATTTTCATTGTTTAATCTGGAAGTATCAATGACAGTACATTCGTGGATTCAGTTCTCCTTCTGGATGTTTAAACATTCTTTTCTCTGGTCTGTGATTGACAAGTAAGGTGGATAAAAGCAAGTGTTTGTGCTCTGGGGAGCCTAAGTCAGGTTTAGGTTAGTGTGTAGCTGGCACCTCCAGAAAGGTTTCCTTGGGCCTGTGATGCTTTAACCACTGGGGCTTTTGACCTGAGCCCCAGACTTTTAGCATTTGCATTGAAATATTAGGTGTTATCCCCCAGGACCCGCGTGCCTGTCTTACCGTGGTCAGGGAGGACCGCAGCAGGGCAGCGCCCCAGTGAGGTCCATGTTGTCAGATCTCACAGTTCCACTTTGCTTACCCACTTTCCTCACCTGTCTTTGGAGCAGCGTTCCCTCTCTGTTGGCAAGGTTTCCAGCTGGAGAAGACAGAGGCTTGCAGGAACGTAACAGCTTAGCCACACAACACAGGGCGGATGCACAGATAGCCTGTAAGCACCCTAATCCTTGCACTCAGGGCAAAAGCGTGTGACCTGTGACTGTGTTGCTTGGGTCACTATCTGTACTGACAGGAAGTGTAGGAGTCCTAGAAACCTCCAGCGCTCTGGATATCATGGGGGGTGGGGGGGCGGACAGCTACCTCTCACGGTGATGGTGGCCTACAATTCAAAGTAACTGACTGGCTGCTCTGAAAAGCCATCTTTGCATTGTTCCCGGACCGTCTCCCTGCTCGCTGCAGCCACCTCCGCCGCGCGCCTCCGCCGCGGTCTCCAGCAGCTGTCTCACCAGAGTCCTCGAACTCTCGCTTTCTTTTTACCCGCTGCACC